ATAATAGCCTTTAAAGGTGTCTTCACATATATTCTCATTTGCAGTAATATGTGATATGGAAAATACTGGAATTATTCCCTTGGTTGAAAGACTAAGGAAGTTTCCAATTCCCTTTTGAATTCAGGATGGTTTTTCAATCCTTTCCTCTCTTGTGCTCTCCCCTAGATAATAATACTCATTGTTACCCCTTTTTAAAAGTGCTAAATGTACCTACCTGTGACTTGGGGATTAAGTCTTGATTTCTATGGCATTTGGGAGGTCTCATTTTCTAGAAAAGATCTAGGTTTTCTTTTTTGTCCTCTGCTAAATGTTATTTAGAGACTCTCAAGAGGATTCAAATTTTGAATTACTAAACTGTTTAGAAACATTGAAGAAAGCTGACTTGTGTACAACAGGGATTTCCTGTTAATGGAAATATTTTTTTTTCATATATTGATAACTGGCACATCATAAAAAGCAAGCATGAGAGGAGAAACCAAGATGGCGGCATAGGGTAAACACCTGAATACAGCCTACCACAACAAATTTGAATTTAGAACTGGAAAACAGGGGAAACATCACCCTGAAGCGCTGGATGGCTGGCTCCTACCCTCTGGGAAGGAGAGAAAAGGCACGCTGAACCTCAGGAAATGTGAAGGTGCGGAGAACTATGCATGCGAAAAGGTGGCCACCTGTCTTCGCTGCAGGCTTGCTTGCGGAGCGCGGAGAGGGCGGGCTCAGATTGCTACTGGCTTACTCCCTGTGCGCAGACAGCTAATGTGCAGCTGGCTTTCTTGTTTGGGAGGAAAACAGACGGCCCCAGACAGGGAGAGGCCAGACTGTCAGGCAGTGGGCAGGGATCTCTCGGAGCTGTGTGAAGCCAGCAGCCATTCTGCGGGACTCAGAAACCAGACCCTTGTAGGGAGGGGCTGACCAAAGCTTGTCTGCACCACCCGAGTCTCTGCCCCATCCAACGGAGCACAGAAGCCCTTCCAGTGGCTAGCTTTCTCGTTTACTGCGAATAGGACTCTCCTAGGGAGGGGCAGACAGGAATCCGAAGCTTGTCTGCACCTATACCAGAGAGGTGCGTATAACTGCAACCAATCTTGCGGGATTCACCAAAGCTTGGCTGTGCAACCCCAAGACTCTGTCCCATTCAAGCGGAATACAGAAACCCTGCTAGCTGAGACACTCCTGATCCTCATAGCCAACTGGCTTGGAGATCAGCACTTCCCAGCGATACCAACAACAAGTAAGACTTAACAAGACTGCACAAACAACCCACAAAGGGCTACACCAAGACTGTCCACCTCAGGTAACTGGGAGGCTGACTCACTGAACCATATAGGACATCTTAGCACACAAAGCCACCCTACCAACTCAGAGTAGCTGTGAAAATGCCGAGACAAGAAAACAGATCATAAACAAAAGAAATGGAGGACAAGAAGCAACTGGATATAGAGTTCAAAACCACGGATATAAGGTTTTTCAAGAATTTCCTAGAAAAGGCCATTAAATAAATGAAACCTATGAGGATATGAAAAGGGATCAACTAGAAATAAAGAATACATTGTCTGAAATAAAAAATATTATCCAGAGACCTAAAAACAGAATGGAAGATTGCAAGAATCAAGTCAAAGATTTCAAACATAAAGAGCCAGAAGACACTCCTCCACAGAAGCAAGAAGATAAGAGAATCCAGAAAGTTGAAGATAGTGTAAGAAACCTCTGGGACAACTTCAAGCGAACCAACATCAGAATTATGAGGATCCCGGAAGGGAAGAAAGAGCAAGATACCGAAAGTATACTGGAAGAAATAGTGACAGAAAACTTCCCTCACCTGGTGAAAGAATTAGCTTTACAAGTCCAGGAAGTGCACAGAACTCCAAACAAAAGGAATCCAAAGAGGACCACACCAAGACATATCATAATTAAAATTCCAAGAGCAAAAGACAAAGGGAGAATATTAAAAGCAGCAAAAGAAAAACAGGTAGTTACCTATAAAGGAGCACCCATACAATTGTCAGCTGATTTCTCAACAGAAGCCATGCAGGCCAGATAGGAATGGCAAGAAATATTCAAGGTGATGAATAGCAAGAACCTACAGCCAAAAATACTCTACCCAGCAAAGCTATCACTCAGAATCAAAGGCCAGATAAAGAGCTTCACAAATAAAAAAAAGCTAAAGGAGTTCATCACCACCAGGGGACAGGGACAGACCTCACCGGAGTTACAGAATTATATGAATTGCTGAAGGGGGTTCTTTAGGAAGAGGAAGAAAATAAAGATAAAAATTATGATCAACAAATATGTAACTATCAACAAGTGAAACTAAAAGCCAAGGGAATTAAAAAACCTGATGAATAATATTAACTGGTGAATATAATAGAATCAGAGGTATGGAAGGGGAGTGAACTGAAGATTCTTGGGGAAAAGGGGAGTGGGGGTGCAGGAAGCGCCTGAACATAAACTGTGCACCTATGGATGAGGACAATGGGGGGTGGGGAAAGGGAAGAGGGTGGGGTGGGAACCTGGTGGAGGGGAGCAATTGGGGGAGGGGAGGGAAAGAGGAATATTTGTAATAAGCTGAACAATAAAGATTAAAAAAAAAATAAGCAAGCATGAAAAAGGACAGTTTTGGATGGAGGCTGTGACGTAGGGAACTTTTTCCTGCCAGCAGCCATTTGGATATTTATAACACCATATCCAAATATGGTGTGGGCCATACACATTACCAACTTAAAAACCAGCCTATTTGGTGAAACATTTAATTACCTCACCCCAGATGCCTTGGCAGGGACAGACCTCACTGGAGTTACAGAAACTCAAGAGCGACACAAACACAAACCAGACCAACAAGCCAGTCGCATAAAGAACCACATCTCACACTGACTGGGATCTGATTCCCATGTTCTCCCACAAGAGGAATCACTTAATGGCTCAGTCATGGAAACAAAACTCAAAGCTCCCACTGCTAGTCCACCGCGGGCACGTGCAGCCATAATCACACTCAAGATGACCTTTGCCAGGAGTCAGTTTGGTGCGTGAGCCAATGAGCTCAGAACGGGGAGCGGTGGGTGCCGCCGAGGAAGGTCAGCTGAAGGCGGGAAGGGCCCAGGCCTGCTCGGGCTGCTCTAGCTCCGGGTCTAACGTCTGCTTCAGTTGGCCAAGGAGGCTCCAGCACCAGAAGTCAGCTGTAGAAGGCTAACTCGGAGCACTCAGCTCTGTGCTGAGGTCAGCATCTGCACGTGAGTAATTTTAAATGGAGACTGAGTCAGGGAGAAAGGCAAAACAGACGCGGCAGGCTGCTGCGCCCGTGGTCCCAGGGAACAGTGGGCTCCTGGCATTCGTGCCTGTGTTGGATCTGGGCTTGGCCATGTGACTTGCTCGGGTCAAGGGGGAGGAATTAGCCAGCACGGGGAGCACAGAGGCTTGACAAGCACTTTGCATTTGGAGCTTGTCTTCTCGGAGAAAAGCCCTGAGATAGCCCTGCTGTGCAGACATTAGCAGGCCACCTGGAGGAGCAATGAGAGGTCCCACTCATATACAACGAAGCTTCTTGATCTTCCAGGCCAGGTACCGGCCACCAGCAAAATACAGTGGAGTAACTCCAGGCGGTGCTAGTTGGAAAAGAAGAGCCACCCATTTCATTTAAAAAAAACCTAACCCCCTGCCTCCCCTCAAAAAACACCACCCCCCCAAAAAAAAAACATCCAACCCAGCCAGCCCTCTAACAGCTTAGCCCACGGAAGCAGAGGAAACAATAAATGACTGTTTTAAGTCACAACATGATGGAGTATCTTTTTTTTTTTTTTAAAGAAAGCAAGAATTTGCAGCAAAAATTACTTAGGACAAGAAACAAGGAAGGGCACAAAAGCAACAGGAGAGCGTAGGCTGGGCTGCTCTGGTCACTGGGAAGGCAGAGAAAAGGGAGCCATGGGGACAGGGTCAGGGGTCAGTCAGGACAAATGTCCACTGCTCCCCTGGGGAAGGGATCACCTGCCTGAGAGGGAAGGAGAGGGGAAGGGATTGGCAGGGCGCGCTCCCTGAGGGAGAGCACCATCACGTGCTTTAATGAAGCTGTTGATTTTAATGCAGCAGGAAGTGTAGCACAGGACTGATAAGAGAAAGGGAGGAACTGCACTGTGGGAAGAGCAATTTTGTTTATGTACTTTTGGGGCTGATTAACTGGCGCCCAACACCGCGGTCAGGATGAAATTCTGTCCCTGAGCAAGTTCTCTATGGCCCCGAAGAAAACTATTTTGTTGTTTACTAATTCTCAAGAAAATGTCAAGGGTTACGTACAGAGCATACTGTATGTTTGCAGTGTCCTTGTGATTGTCACCTTTGACCTTGTTCATTCTGGTTGTACAATTTCCCTCACTGGAATGTGTTTTAAAAAATATATAGAGAGCCAGAAATGTCGATGAGAGAGAAACATCGACCAGCTGCTTCTTGCAAATCCCCTACCGGGGATGTGCCCGCAACCAATGTACATGCCCTTGACCGGAATCGAACCCGGGACCCTTCAGTCCGTAGACCAACGCTCTACCACTGAGCCAAACCGGTTTCAGCCCTCACTAGAATGTTAAAGGAGAAAATCCAGAGATGGGAAAGACCAATGCTGGCGTGGGCCAAGGGTCTGAAGTCCCTCCCCCACAGCTTTTCCCTATTTAGACCTGTGGCATCAGCGGTCTGTCCAGCCCATCTGTCAACAAGCCAGGTCACCTAAATCTGGAATGCCCTGAGGAGGCTCAGAACACCCTAGGGCCCAAGTCCCAGTCCTGGCGCTACATTAGGCACCACAGGAACCAGGTGCAAAGGGGCCCTGGAGCTGTGGGCTATGGAAATAGGGCCTCCCTGGAAGGTGGGAGTAGGAGGGCGGAAAAGACAAAGGAGCCGTTACCTGGCGACAGAGAAATAGACAGAGGAAACGGAAGTAAGAGCTGAAATACCTCCGTTACTGACTCACCAGAGTGAAACAGAGTTAAACTTTATTTGTCTGGAAGACAGGGCCTCCGTCACTAGGACTCGAGCTCTGGGGCTGTGCTTCCTCCTCGGCGGGGCGGGGTGGGGTGGGGTGGGCTGTGCTTGGCAAGGGCTGCAGTGGTCTCAGATCTGGATAGATGGGAGAGTTTTCCAAGACTGTGGCACCTGCCACACCAAGCCAGAACTCACCTGTGTGTCCCCAATCCATCCCTCTCCCCGTGGGATAGTCCACATTTCTGCCCACTTCTCACCTGGCTGGCCCCCCAGCTGGGCCTGAGGCAGGTCTCCCCAGAGAACGTGCGCAGGGTCATTGAGGAACCGCTGGCTGCGTTGGCACGTCAGGCAGGTCTGCACCGTCCAGCGCTGTCCCCTGCAGCCTGGGGTGAGAGCAGGAAATGAAGAGTCTGGGTCAGAAGAAAAGGGCTCTTACACCCAGGTTTGTCTCCATTGTTTTCTAGTAGAAATCCACCTGGTCCCACTTCCAATGAAAATTTGATAGTGTCAGTTCCCTGCATAAACTATCAATTTCACCCGAGGATATTTTTCCATTGATCTTTAGAGAGTGGAAGGGAGGAGGAGGAGGAAAGAGAGACATTGACCAGTTGCCCCTGCATGCACCCTGACAGGGGCCAGGGATCAGACCTGCAGCTCAGGCATGTGCCCTTGGCTGGGAATGGAACCTGAGGCCCTTCAATCTATAGACTGATGGGTCAATCACTGAGTCAAACTGCCCAGAGCTAAACTATCAATTTCTGGGTAATTTTTTTTTAAGTTTTCACCAGAGGATATTTTCTCCCATTGATTTTTAGCGAGTGGAAGGGGAGAGACGGAGAAAGAGAAGCATTGATGTGAGAGATGCCTCCCACATGAGATCAGATAGGGGCCGGGGTAGAACCTTTAGCCCTCCAGTCCCAGGTCTGACACTAACCACTGAGCTGAATGGGCTAGGGCCTCGGTGTGCTTTAAGATCAAGTCCAAACACCTTTACAAGACTCTAAAACATCTGCCATTTACTTCTCCAGCCTCATGTCTCGTGCACTTTAAACTCCAGCCTCCTAAACTCTTGTGTTTTTTTTTTTTTTTTTTTTTTTTTTGCTAAACCTCAGCCAAGGATATGTTTTCCATTGATTTTTAGAGTGGAAGGGGGAGGGGAGCATTTATGTGAAAAAGACGCATTTATTGACTGTATCCTGCACCACCCCAACTGGGGCTGGGGCTCGAACCTGCAACCCAGGTACATGCCCTTGACCGAATGAGTCTTTTAATGCTTTAACCACTGACCAGAGTGCTCTCTTAATTGACAGCACGTGCCCCAAAAGCTCTCCTCTGAGTCTGAGAATTTCCATCTCCTCCTGCCTCTTCTTATGCATCTCATCACCACTGGCTTAAGGCACAGCATTGTACTCCTCCAACTAAAGCATTTCCTTCACCAGCTACAATTATTTTAAAAAAATGCAATACCTGGTTAGTCAGGGGCCCTGACCTCTTTCCCCTTAGACTGTCAAATAAGGTGGCTCAGTTACCATTCCTGTCAGGGCACCTGCGGGTCCCAGGCACCTTGACTGGAGGTGCGGGAGGCTCGCCGACCGCTCTCTCGGTCAACGAACACATCCTCGGGCAAAAACAGCCCACACCACAGTGGTGTGCCGTGAAGGCATCAACATCGTGCCTATTTCTTTTTGTCGGCAGAGCAGCGTTTGGGTGTGCTGCAGAACTGCAGTAACCGGCCTACGGTGCCAGGAGGTGAAAAGGGCTCAGAAGCGCCGTGCTCCACTGTTTGGGCGGTTCCTTCCTCAGCCTGCCCCGCCGGACTGTGCTTCACGGACAGAGTCCGGCTCGGGACTCGGCACAGCCTGGAACACCGGCACCTGAGCCCGACGGCGAGGACCGTCCTCCGCGGCCCGCGCAGCCGCCCCCCTGCCGGCGGAGTCCGCCCCCGGCGCCCCGCCCCCGGCGCCCCGCCCCCGGCGCCCCGCCCCCGGCGCCCCGCCCCCGGCGCCCCGCCCCCGGCGCCCCGCCCCCGGCGCCCCGCCCCCGGCGCCCCGCCCCCGGCGCCCCGCCCCCGGCGCCCCGCCCCCGGCGCCCCGCCCCCGGCGCCCCGCCCCCGGCGCCCCGCCCCCGGCGCCCCGCCCCCGGCGCACTCACGTCTCTGGCGCTGCGTGCAGGTCAGGCCCGGGAGGAGGAGGGAAGAGCAGCCACGGCAGAGGGTCCTCTTCACCGACGGGTCCCTGCGGGCGGAGGGGAGAGGGAGGGAGGAGGGGGTTCGCGGCCCGCCCGGCCCGCCCGGCCGCCCGGCCGCCCCGCTCACCGGCGCAGCACGAGCCGCCGGGCCACGGTCCTCTCCGTGTGGCAGTAGAACCTCGCCAGCGCCTGGTTCTCGGGGTCCTGCGCGAGGACGCAGTGGGCGGCCTGGGGGAGAGGCGGTCACCCGGGGCCGGCGGCACCGGGCGCCCCGTCCGAGCGCCCCTGCTCGGACTCACCTGGTACAGGAAGCTGAGCCGCTGGAAGGCCTCGCGGTCCTTCACCTGCCCCGCCATCCGGCCTCGTGAGCGCACTCTCCGGCCCGTAGGCCCCGCCCCTCAGCTAGGCCCGCCCCGGCGCCAGCGCAGTGCCTCCTGGGAAACGTAGTTCCAGGCCCGCGAGGCACCGCCCTGTGGCCCCACAGATCCATCTGTTTGAATTGCATTCTAGCCACGGCCCATTTATGAGTCCTAGTCCAGGCTTCCAAGTCCGTCACTAGCAGTACTCGGTAGAGACTGGAGAGGCTGGTGGGACAGAAGAGGGGTCTCTATGCAGCTAGGTAGGGGGGATGGTTCTGTACAATTTATAGCCAGATAGACGTTCTGCACTACTCTTTGAAGCCAAAGGTGAGTGCCTGGAAGATGTACAGATAGAAGAAACAGAGGTTATACACTTAAAAAACCACTGATGCCAGTGGGAGTGAAATTGGAAAGGACCATGAGGGTGGTGGAGGGGAGGAACAGGGTTCTTTTCCTCGGAGCCACACACACAGCGTCTGTTAGTTCTAAACAGACACTTAACTCCTAATCGTAGGTACTGGAGCACAGAGAAACAGCATCTCCTGCCCCTGACACCACCCCACCACGGCAGTCCCTTCCTCTGACCTGTCTCCCATTTGTTCTGTTTGGCCCCCCATTTCACCTCTGCTTCATAGTTAACGACCAATTCCTGAGGTCAGAGTAGAGGGATGGAGGGGGAGGACATGGATGAACTCCGAGACAGGGAGAGGGTGGCCCAAGTTCTGGGAGGGTGAGGCCTCTCTCCCCTCTCAAACCCCTTCAGGCCGGGCAGGAAACCAGGCTCCAGCTCAGGAAGTGGCTGAAACATCTTCACAAGAGTTTTACCAGTGTCCCCAGACTCAGATGGAAGGAGGATGCCCAGGCCCACCCATTTTCAACACCCAGCGATTCTGACACACTGGCAGTGGCGGCCATCAAATCAGCACACAGCACAAAGAGCACGTCAGTGGATCCTTTGTTCCATATTGTTTACCCACCAAAGTGTCTTGCTACAAAGAACCACAGTCAAGGCACAAAGGTAAGAGGAGAGTCTGGACAGAGTCCTGTGGAGGTGGTCGGAGGAACTGAAATGCCCTCACTAACCTGCAGCTTGTCCCACCTGTGAACCCCATTACCTGAGCAGCAGATGGTTCAGTCGTGTCCCTTTGGTTTGGCATGCATCGCTCTGCCTTTTCTGACATGTACCCTACAGGTTATTTTGGCCTAACATTAAGTGACTTACATTTTCTGATGTGGGAAATGGCAAACGGTGAGGGATGGCAGCAAACAAGCAAAAGTCTGGCTCCTGTGAATACTAGTTCCAGGCCAGATGCACGCAGGCACATAGAAGTTGCCTCTCTGGTCCTTCCCTGCACACTCCACCCTCTTCTACCCTTTCCTCAGGGCGAGAGGACTCTACACCGCTCTCCCTTTCTGGCTTAGACACTTTACCCAGGTAAGAAAGCTGACAACTTGGGAGTAACTATTTTGTAACATTCCTTAAGCTTTGGATAGAAATACTTTTCTCTTTCCTCCAATACCGGACTCTTTTCCGCGTTCCCTTGGGAAAGCAGTAAAAGGACAGGCTGTCTTGCAGGATCTCTGGCAACTCATCCCTGAAGAGTAAGGTGACCAACTTCTTGGATACGGTCAACTCTAAGGAGGCAGGCAATAGCCAGATCTGTTGAAGGCTGACAGGACCTGGGTTCTCCTCTCCTCCTCCTCACCCTTTCCTCCCCACAGTGCTCCTCTGGCCAATCCAACTCACACTGGCAACCTCACTCTGGGAACAGATGACCAAAGAAACCTCTCTCTCCTTCATTAGTATCTAGGGATCTGTTCCTTTTGCCCCCTTCCCTGACCTTTTTTCTAACCTCTTGATGCCCAATCTTTGCCCACAAAAAAATCTTTGCACTCGTGGGTCCTCAACTCCTAGGCCCATGAGAGCAACTGTCATTCATTTTTATTCAGTCTAGTGGTTTACGTACCTGTGCTCTTCCTCACGAAACCTGACTATTCTGCGTTCAAGAGCTCCCAACAAGTGTCCACGGGCTTGTTCGCCCCTCTGGTTTGAGTGCCACACCCTCCCACAGACTTTTTGCTTCTGGAAAAGGCCCTCCTCCCTTCCCGCCCGTCCTGTGCAACAGAAAGCCTGACTGGCTTCACGGGATGAGTCCTTGGGAGCCTACGCCCCACCCGACAGCATGCTCTCACCCGGCCAGGCCTGCCTACGCTTCCACAGAACCACTCTAGACGGGGCTCCGCCCGCTGCCTCCGGACGGACTGACGGACGGACAGACGGAGCAGGCAGCCGCGACGCGCTCCCGCAGGTCACAGGTCACAGGAAGGCAGGCCCGTAGCTCTTGATCCTGCCTCGTCCCAGCGGTGCAGGCCTTCCCGTCACTCCCAGTCTGTCGGGGGCCTGATGGTAAGTGGCGCAGCGTTCTTCCTTCCGGCCCGGATGCCCGGGTAGAAGAGGGGCCACAGTTTCTCAGTAAAAGTGTCAGTGAAGGTGTAGATATGGGAGCGGTCTGTGACGTTGTAAAAAGACAGTGTGCCGGCCTCATAGTCTAGGAATATGCCCACCCGCTTGGGTTTCACCTTGATGTGCAAAGGAGTGAAAGGCGTGGTGGTGGCTGCATACTTGTCCCCGTTCCACAGCCGTACCCGCCAGTAGCCAGTCTCCGGCAGCGGGGTCAGCTCGCCCTTGCGGCTCACCGAGTCCCGGCACACGCCCACTGCCCAGTGGGTCTTGTCGCCCACCTCCACCTCCCAGTAGTGCCGGCCCGAGGTGAAGCCCTCGGTGGCCAGGACGCAGGGGTAGAAGGTGAAGCGCCGTGGCGTGTCGGGCAGGTCCCGGAGTCTGGTCTCCACAAACTTGACGCTCTTCCGGTCTTCCGACAGGACTAGGTTAGGGTGAGCAGTCTCCGGGTCCAGGGTCACATCCGCTGGCGGGAGAAGCCAGAGTGGGGAGCTAGATGAGGACGGGGAAGAGCTCAACGCCCTGCCTCAGTCTTCCAGCCTGCCTGACAGAGCCTGCTCCCTTAAAGGCCCAGAACACTGTGGTTTGGTAACTTTCTCCATCCCTGGTGTCGCCTGAGGCAGGGGAAGGACACTGCTTCGCGTCTCACCGGCCCTAAAAGGCGCAGGTGACTAACTTGCTTTTGCCTTGCCGGGGCCGGTGGGTTAGGCCCTCCATCCACAGCCCCCGACATCATCATCATCTCACGGTGCAGAGAAGCACCAGGCACATCAAGGGCCAGAAAGAATGGAAAGTGTATGTGAAGAAGGATACAGAGAAGACACCATCATTGGGTCTAGGGGTAGGGTGACTTGACACCTGTTTTCTTGGAAACTATATGACTGTATTCTCTGAGTGAAAATGAATGACAATCCCTTCTCTCTCTAGAGTGGACCAATTTTAGGCCAATTATTTAACCTTTTTGGGCCCCTGTTCAGAAAAGCATGGGCCTAAGGTTAGATGACACAAGCTTTTCTCTGCGAGTTATGTGACTCAGAGTGACCGAAAGCCAGGTAAAGGGATGGGTGACAGATAGGGCAGCTGAACCCAGATAAAGACTTTTTGCTCTCTGCCGATTCCCTTTGCTATTTTCCTTTGGGGAACAACTCACCAATTAGCTGCTTAAGGATTTTCCTTAGGGCAAAGTACTGTCGGGGGAAGCTGCTGAAGTTCTTTTCAAGCTGTATGGACACTGAAGTCACCTCCATGGTCTTCACCTTTTCACATCTAGGAGGGGCAGGGAGAGAGGGGAAGGAAGGGCAGGTCAGGGAAGCTCCATCCTTCCACTTTCTCCCTCCTCCCTGAGGACAAGCACTTGAGTATTGCTTCCTTTTGCCAATCTGTGGATAGCCATATGGTCCCCTGGACAAATCCTTAAGATTGAGCCTCAGGACTTTCTGGAGGTATTTGTTATATTCCTTTTTTTAAATTAAATTATTACCTGTGTACATATTTTACCATTGCCCCTCCTCCCATACATATCCTCCCTCCCTATTTGTTATATTTCTTGCAAATGGGTAATTATCACCCCCCCCCCCAACCCTATCCTTCTTCTATCTTGTTTGGACACAGTTCCACCTACAGGCACAGTCAGAATCAGGTTCTACATGACCTTGGGATCTTCCTTAACCAGGAAGTCCTGATGCTCGAAGGGCTACTATTCCCGATGATTTGCTCTCTGACTGGCGTCACGGATGTATAGCCCTTTCCCACGGCCTCCCAGAAGCTGCACGGCTTTTCCATCTTACCCTCCCACTCCTTACTGTGCCGCCAGGCTCTACGCCAAGATCTAATTCACTGAAAGAGCTGCAGGAATCACTTACTTTTCCAGGGTACTTTTGACATCCTAGAGGGAAGGAGAAAAGAAAGCAGTATTGGTCCTGGTAGTCAGGGTCCTACAGGCAAAAGGGCCCCCCTCCTCCCCAAGCTCCAGATCTCTAAAACAGGAACAGGGCAGACGGAGAGCTCCAGAGCACATCTCGCCCAACTTCATCCTCACTTTCAACTTCTGGTCACCACGAAGCTCGGCAACTTATGTTCCTTCCAAATGGCTCCTGTACGTTTGTCTTTGTTCCTCAGGGACACTGGGAGCGCAATGCAGGGCACAGGGATTGTGTCTGCTCTCCGCTCTGTCCCCCAAGTACCGACCACAACACCTGCCTCCTTGAGGGTTAGTACAGAGAGTGCCAGTCTGTGGTAGAGGAACAGGTCCTGTTTCCCACTATGGGCTGGCATCCGTTTGGTGTTGGTTAATAAACACTAACAACTGTGCCAATCCTGATTTGCCAATACTTGGGGTCCAGAAGACAAAGAAGACAAATCTCTGCCCCCAGGATTTCCCAGTTTAATGTGGAAGGCAGAACACACATACATGAAAGGACATGAGAGTAAACACCCAGGAGTACATCAGCATGCAGATCAATGTGCAACGGCGCCTCACTGATTCCAATGCTGCTGGTCTGATCTCTAAGGTGAGAGACATGTTTCCTACAGCCTT